TGAGGAATGATCGGTTAAGAGATGACGCTGTCCATGTGCTTCCCCAAATAAACTAAGGATAGGGTGTGCATGAGCCTTTTGTGCGAAAGACAAGGCCCTCGATCTTGGGCCCAGACAGCAAGGCGCCACACGCTGGGCCTCCACAAAGGGTGTACATACACATTAATGTGTATGAGTGCGGATCTATGCATGAGAAGTACGAAGGACTGTATCCCTTGGGATCCAGAAGTGCAGTTCTATTTCTGGTCTTGCAGGGTGTACTTCGAATCTATATCGTAGAGTCAATTAGCTAGATTCAGTTAAGATAGATTGATTTAGACTAAATCACATTATAATTAAAGTAAATAAAGTTAGTTATAGTGCTCTCCAAAAGCACCTGCATTTTTATTCCTAAAGCCTTTATTCAGTTGAAAACCCATAACATCACCGTACCAGAAATCAACATATATACAGAGGACTGAACACCGTTGGAGTGCTCATCAGAGCTTTGGTGGCTAACGAACCCACCTTGCCAGATTCACGCAGTCGAATCTACCGCGAAAACGACAATGGCGACGATCAGGACGTCGCAATAGGCAATCTCCCTACTCATCTCTGCCTATGTCAACGAATTCAGACGTACATAGAAGTGTATTTCCTATGCTTAGCTTGAAGACAAGTATCAGAGATGAGTAGGGAGATTGCCAATGAGCCTGTTTTTGGTGGTCTCAATTTTTCTCTGGTTTCGGCGCGCCACCTTAGCGGAGGGCCCTCGAAGCAGTTTCACGTTTTTGATTGGTCGTGTTTATATATGTAGTATATCAGGTGGTTAATACATTAATATACACTTATTTATTTATACATATATATTTGATGTTAATAATTGGTGTTACTCATGATACATATTCGTGCGCGTCTGCATAGCAACTGCTGAATGTGCAGTGTTGGCGAGTGCGCCGAGGCTCGCTTCGCATAAACGCTGACGCAGGCGTTTCTTCATACATTACAACTCTCCGCTCTTTTTAAACTTGACTCTCCCTGAAAACGTGGAGAGCGTCGCAATTTTACATCAGGATTATTACATTTTATCATTTGATCTACGTGGCGTTTAACTAGGTTACCTTTATCATTAGATACAACGTAAGTCGATGGTGAGACTTGTTTTGCAACAGTTCCACTCATTCTATTTTCCGATCTTACACTGAAATCGTCTACCATGATTTGTTCTCCCGGTGAGAACTCTACCTTGCGCTTTCCCGGTCCTGCTATTATTTGATCACGCTGTTTTTGCGCAACTGTTTCTGTAACGCTTGGTTTGAGCAAGTCGAACCTAGTTCTAATCTCCCTTTTATACATTAAATACGCCGGAGTTCTTTTGGTCGTACAATGTTCGATGTAGTCCTACTCATTCTTTTTTCCGATCTTACACCGAAATCGTCTACCATAATTTGTTCTCCCGATGAGAAGTCTACCTTGCGCTTTCCCGGTCTTGCTATTATTTAATCACGCTGTTTTTGCGCGACTGTTTCTGTAACGCTTGGTTTGAGCAAGTCGAACCTAGTTCTAATCTCCCTTTTATACATTAAATACGCCGGAGTTCTTTTGGTCGTACAATGTTCGATGCTACGATAGTCAAATAAAAACATGTTTATAGCTGTTTCCAGCGTTTTTCCCGCTTTAACAATTTTAGAAACTTTATCTTTAAAAGTTTGTACAAAATTTTCTGCTGCACCGTTCGTAGCAGGATGATACGGCGGTGAGAAGCTGTGCTTTACCCCATTATTTAACAAAAAATTTTGAAATTCAGCGCTTCTAAATTGTGGACCTCCGTCTGTTACACAATGCAGAGGAAGTCCATGTCGTGAAAATAATACTCTAAACTCTTCGCACAGTCTGTATGCTTTTGTATTACTTTTAAAATTTATCATTTGCGGCCATTTGCTATGAGCTTCTATTATAATTAAATACATATTTCCATAAAATGGACCTGCGCAATCACAATGAATGCGGCTCCATGCTTTATCTGGCCAAGGCCATGTAGTTAAAGGCGTAAATGGTGGTTTCTTTAATTCTGTTAAACAAATTTTACAATCTTTTACTAACTTTTCTATATCACGATCAATATTAGGCCACCATACATATGAGTGTGCAAACATTTTGATTTTTACAATGCCTAGGTGTGTAGCATGTAGTTCTTTTAATATAATATCTCTTAAATTTTCTGGAATTACTGCTCTTAATCCCCAAAATAAACAACCCTTTTCCGTTGTTAATTCTAATCTTTTGTTATAAATACTTTTTTCATCGTTCGACATTTCTTTTGAGTTCTTAGGCCAATTTCCTAAAACTCGCTTGATTGCTGTAGCAATCAATTCATCTTTTTTACTTTCTTCCAATAATATTTTATAATCGAACGCGGCCACTCCCTCTTCGAAAAAATTCACATGCGAAAAATCTGACCCTATCATCTCAGTATCGTCATCTATCGGAAGTCTTGATAATGCATCGCAGTTTGCATTAGCTTCTGATTTTACGTGTTCTATTTGATATCTAAACCCGGATAAATAGTACGCCCATCTTTAAAACCGATTATCGGCGGTTAATGGAATCCCTTTTCTTGGACCTAGTATTAATTCTAATGTTTTATTATCCGTTCTTAAAATAAATTATTTCCCTTAAAGAAACTGATAAAACCGTTTTACCCCAAACATTATAGCCATTGCTTC